GCGAAGGGTGCTGAAGAATGACTGGCCGGCCTTGTTGACGAAGCAAGACCAGCAGGAGTTGGAAATCAAAGGGGCGATAGGGGTAGGAGAGTCGTCCGACAGAGAGGGAGAAGCTGTGCGGGGTTGTTTCGACGAGGAGGACTTCTTGGGGGACATGGTGGCAGAAGGAAAGAAAGAATGAGACGAAAAGGAGAGGCGCCAGGCTTAAATATCGAGAGGAAGAAGCCGTGAAGAAGCGTGAAGAACAAAACGTGACAGCGATGAAGCTTCTGAAGCTTAAACTGTATACACCGGCTCAGGGAAATTAAACGTCTTTGTGCGCAGTCGCCGGAACCGCTCGAAATGGTTAGCAGCTCAAGGGTCTGGGTGATGTGGAAACCCGCGGTGGAATTAAGGAAGCTTGCGAGACGGAAAGGGCCGACCAGGCGCCTGAACGGAAGCATTTCTTTGTCCGAGGGCAAATCAGTGATCATGGCAACGCCTTTGCTTGGCAGAACCAAAGATCCGACAGAGAATGTCAAAAATTTGAGTCCGAAGTGTCGATCCATGATCTTCGCTGACGGCAAAAAGTGAAAGATGGAGAGAATTCATTGATGTTGTTGAATTCGAGTATTGCCAAAGACGACTGGGGACAGTCGGGATTTAAAAATGGGGGAGATGATAAGCCGCAGTCTGGGACAGACCAGGAAACGACTATTTTTGTCGATTTTGTTGCTTAGCGCACGTCTCAGAGTTGACATGAGTCCCGAATGGTCAACTAGGGAGTTACCTGCACAAGAACCTATCAAAATCCAGTCAAATCCTATCAAATCGCTCATGGTGATTCCAAAATCTTGACTAGGAAAAGTTCGCAGAGCCCGTTTCTCGCTAGAATCCATCCAATTCTATGCAAAATACCCAAAGGGAGTGTATTCTAAAAGGCATATTCGGTTTGGCGCTCAGTGGAGACTCGAGATCGACAACTCCTAGACTAGGGCCACCCCTATCTCTGTTGGTATCGATGACTGACATCATTGGAACGTGGTTTCGGATCATGCTGGAGGATCGGGAGTGCCAAGGGACGGTTGAACGGCGAAAACCTACTCAATTGATTGGGGCCTGGACCTGTGATCAACGGCGACTCTAAAACACTGTCGAGGAACTGATCATCTGAACATTGGAAATGCGCCAGGAGAGTTGGGACAACTACCGCTGAGGCCATACGCACAAGATACGAGTTATGGGTGTCAATCGAAAGCTGGGAAGCAGAGCTATCCACTTATCCTACTCAAGATCGAGGGATTCTTCACAAGCAAAACTAGATGGTCGCGAACACGGAAGATTTACACAGGTCATTGACTCCAATACACGCGATACCAGTCATCTGGACCTGGATTTTCGACTCTAGGCCGTATGGCGAAAACGATACCTATACAATTATGCACATGGACGACTTTTCTTACTCGAGATTTTCCTTGATTCTATCAATTTCGTTTTAGTATTTATATCACTGTCTTGTATTTGGGGGATTCACGGATTGCCCCGCTCTACTAGGTGCATCTGGGGATCTAGCTCGTCAAATCTATCTTGCTAGCTCTTTCAAAATAGTATTATCGCGTCGGAAGGATTATTGGTTGAGGGTTTCGGTTGCTGAATACAAGAGTTCCGGTTGCTGTTTATTGGGTTTCGGTTGCTGGTCGAGAGTTTAAGGCAGTTAGTTCCTGACTCGAGACAACTCAGAGGGTTTAAGGCAGTTAGTCCTGATCCAACGAGTATAAACTCTCCGGGCATCGTATTGGCGCTTCTCTATTGCTGAGTTTCGTCGATAGTACGCTTTGGGGCACAACAAATCAACGTTTTTCGCAAGAAACTCGTATCAACCCTACAACCTTACACATTTGTGCCAAGGCTCTGTTCACAGGGGTCTGTTCTCGCACAAGGAGTCGACGATATTTTGGGTTTTGTGACTTTTCCTACTCGACATTATACAACTTTCTCTCTATCTCAAGTGGAGTTTTGGTTGTTTTTGTTGGTTTGGTTAGTTAGAGGCTCATTTGCTTTGTCCCCACTCCGCACTCATCAGCGCGAGAATAGTGAAGGTGCGAGCGACGCGTGGAAGTGGGTCCGGACGAAGACACGCGAAAGGTCGACCCCATGCATGGGGAGGCGGGAGACCTGACGGGCGGGAAGGTCTGCCAAATCGACAAGGCCCGACTGTTGGACAGGGAACGAAGAATGTTGGGGATCGCTGGTCGGGGCAAACGACGGGAAGGCCAGAGCGTCAAGAAAGAGGAAGTGTTCTAGGAGAAGGCCAGGCGTTACCCGTAACGGTGGGACAGCACTAGAGTACGGTGGCAGCGTTTCGTCGACGAAAGAATAGTGGGGGGGGCCATGACGGGGAGACGACGAGGAACGAAGGGAAAAGGAGAATCGACGCAGCCTATATATGGCCTGAAACAGGGAATATTCCATATGGAAACCCTCGCGAAAAGGAGAGCCAAGTGAGACGGCCCGAGGGCGCCCGAAATAGCAAGGAAAGGACAAAGGACGCAAAATGAATTGGAAACACGAAACGCAGCACTGCACGTGACCGCGGTGAAACACTTGATGGACAGGAAGAATCGATCTGCGCATGCCACGAGGCGTTAGAAGCCGCGGGAGATTAAAACGCCGCAGCCGAAGCTTAGCTCAAGCTTATGGGCTGGATGGAAAGTGTGATTGGAAGGACGAGCTAAAGTCAAGATTAACCCGAGAAACCGGGGCGACCGAGCCACGCCGACTCGAGACGAGTCGTTCCTAGGGAGGGGGTGATGTCACGGATAAGACCCGGCCTGTCCGCTCCGGCGCTGGTATCAGGCCATCGCGGGCCCATAGCACGCAGCACGTGATGACGGGGAACATGCACCCCAGTAGAAGGAACGCACACGTGGGAAGCACGTGACCGAGAACGACGCGTCGAGCCATCGCCGAGCCCAACTCGACACAAGGGGACTGGGGAGGAGTGCTAGGAGGTTAGGAGTAGCGCCTGGCCCGCAAGGGATGTACGATCGTCCCCTCTGCGGCCAGGAATGGGAGCGAGGAGGAGGAGGAGAGGCCAGGGTGTCCGATCACCCCCTTACCCTAGTGTACCCTGTACTCTATCGCTTAGATCGTCTGAAGAACTACCTTACTCCGTGCAAGGAGACGTTATCGACTCATCGGGCCCGACACGACCTGATTCGAACCTTCGACCACCGACCACGGCAAGGGACTGAGTTCACGGGCCCTTTCGGTTTCGATCTACCCCGCCCGCCGTACCTGCGGGCCCGACTATCCGTCTGTTCTGTTCCGGGCGCGTGTTCTTAGGAGAGGTCCTTGCACGGCCTGACCCACAGTCTGACAACACCCGGGCTTCTCCTGCTCCTCCTTACCCCCCGTTCCTGGCCGCAGAGGGGACGATCATACATCCCTTGCGGGCCAGGCGCTACTCCTAACCTCCTAGCACTCCTCCCCAGTCCCCTGGTGTCGAGTTGGGCTCGGCAACGGCTCGACGCGACGTTCTCGGTCACGTGCTTCCCACGTGTGCGTTCCTCCTACTGGGGTGCATGTTCCCCGTCGTCACATGCTGCGTGCTACGGGCCCGTGATGGCCCGACACCAGCGCCGGAGTGGACGGGCCGGGTCTTATCCGTGACAGTGACAGTGACAGTCGCCTAAGTCACACAGTGTGACTTAGGCCAACGTCTACCTCCACACAGCCAGGCCGGGTCAGGCGGCAGTGCCAAGTGCCTGCCTGGAGTGCTGGGTGGCTTGAAAGACCAGCCAGGCTGTGTTTGACCACTAACAGCAGCTGGGCCCTAGCAATGGGTGTCCGATACCCAACAGATCAACAATCTCTGGATTAATCAGGGTTAAAAAGGGAGATTCCCCTGACACATTCCCAAACTGAAGCTGGGTTTTGGTTCTACTGAGTTTAGCTATTTTTATCCAGATAAGGACACTTCATAACTATTGACCTGGAGTTCAGTGTTTCAGGCTTACCAAATCTGGGTTTTGGACTGAACCACTGATTTAGTATTCAGCCAAAATGGGCCAGGAACTATACCTAAAATTTCTTTAACTATTGTAATGATATTGCTTACTATGTTACACATGTAACAGTTGGTTGATCTTAATTTTTTACTATTATATATATGTTTCTGATTTTCTTTTTGCCTCCCCCTTAAGTAGTATATAATTGCATTCTGCAGTGACTCAGTGGCATTATATAAAATTTGATACATAAGTGTAAGCTTATCTAATCTTTTAGTCTATATTTTTCTTTGTCATTAGTTTATATAAATATGTGGATTTGTTTGCCTTCAGGAACTTCAGGTGCTTGCCTTATATAGTAGGAGTAATCAAAGGCCTTGATATCTCTCAATTTTGGATGCTAAAACTTAAAAGGCTATCTTTTATATATACAATGAACATATTGTCCAATGTCAAGATACACCAAGAGTTGCTGTGTCTAGTGTCCTTCCCACAGAATTACAAATAAAACATTGTTTCCATACCCAATTTGCTATAAGTACATACCTATTTAAGAGCCATTTGCAGACTTAGACACCACACCTTCAAACATATTTGTGGGGGCTCATTTTTGAGTAAGGCTCAATGGCCCAAGTCTTGAGGCTCCCACTTGAAACCATTACACACTCTAGAGTTAGTCCGATATAATAGTGTTTAACTCATTACTAGTAGTAGGTACACCACTAGGTACACTACAAGGACAATAATGGAGATACAGAAATACATAATTGGATGCAAATGATGATGGCTAGTAGTACAACAAATGGTATTGTCAATGCGATGCAGATAGAGGATAAGAGCAAGACAGCGACGGATAAGTGTCAATCATGTCATCTCGATAAACCGATAAGAGAGAAGCAACGAAGTGTCGCTGGGAATATGCCATGGTATCGTGGAAGGGCGATGAATGCGAGGAGTACGGAGTTCGGAACGGGAATTCCGGTAGGTGTGTGATCGGAATATGCTAAGAGCTCAGAGATTATACTGCTGGATATGGCGCATGATGATGAATGACACAAGAAGCTCTACAGCACTTATCAGAAAGAGCCAAAAAGAGACTGCAATGGAACATACCCAGCGTAAGGTGTGTGAAGCCATCATAGATCGTGAATGAGTTGCCCGAAACATCGTATGTCCGTACATCGGCAGGCTTCAGGTCGTATTGGGCGACAACGAAGTTGTCTGTGGTTGTGCACTGTGGTAACAACAGAGTGAGCTCAGTCACTAAGAAAAACGCGAAACCCACGCACACTCCACTCGGGTCCAGTTGTTCCTTGCGTCCACTTGTACTCTCGTCCATCTGAGCAGACGAACTTTCTCGTTAAGGACCGGCCAAACAATCCGGTCTTGCGTAAGTATTGCACCATAGGGAGTACTCTCGGTCGAGCTCCAGGCACAGTAGCAAAGCTAATGTTGCCAAGCCCGCCATCGGCCGCGAACTCAAGAACGGCGGCGGGAAGATGGAGGTGGGCTTGCCAGTGGGCGTCTCGATGGCGAGAGGTCCGTCGAGTCATAGGATATACCATGACAGAGCGTTGGGCGGAGCAGACAACATGAAAGAACGCGCGATCGTAGATGTCGTCAAAGTCCGTGGTGGTGTAGGCACCAGTGCGGTCTTCCAGAATGAGAGGGAGGGAACGGGTTGGGGACTGCATGGGTGAAGAGTGGGGGCAGTAGTACAGTGCTCGGTCTACACTTATATATAAATGGGTCACTTGTAAGCCGAAGCTTCTTTCTTTCATGGAATCACATACCCACGACGTGATTCGCAGCCACGCTAAGTCATTTTCGGCACGGATTACCACTGCTCAGGCCCGATTTGAGATGGCGATTGGATGCGTTTGGGACCAGTCCCGATTAAGAGGTCGTGATAGTTGTGTCTCGACAAAGAGAGCGAAGCTTCTCGTGGGTGCGCTCCCTTCTCTTTGTAGGTAGGCATATGCTAGTATGCAACGTGAGTCAACCCATACGAAATGAGACCCGGAGAACTCACCTCGACAGCTGGCGGATACCTGGTGTTGCCCCTAACCCGTACTGGAGGTCTACACTGGACACGTCAGCGCACAAGTGAAAGTCCAAAGATAGCGGAATCCGGGCGGTTACGTCACGCCGCCGCTTTGATAGCTGATCGGTTATTCGCTGCCGGATGCCGAATTGCTTCGCCTCCGAAGCTAAGCTAAAGATCAATGCACTGGCACGGAACGAGAAGAGAGACCTTCAAAGGTGTGGTTTCCAGTGTGAACAAACTCCTGCACTAAGAGCTGCGCCTCATGGAGTAGAGATAGGCAAGTAAGCTGTAAGTAGTAACCGACAAGGTGCCTGATTCCTGTGATGCACTGGCAAAGGGACCAACATGTTTATTAAGTAAATGTGTCGCTTGGCAACGTTAACCTCTTGAGTTGCCGTTTTCCAAACAATTTGACATCGTACTTTCCGTAGTTTCCGGTCGCGCGCTTGGACGACATCATCATCCTTGCATCATTTAAGCCTGAGCATCCACGGAACCAAATCACTGCCAGTGTAACAGCAACTACGCTAGTGTAGTCTGTGAACTCTTTCGAGGTGATAAGTATTGTTTGGGCCGTTTCTACCAAAAATCAGTCCATCACTGCATGCACAAGCAAGTTTCAAGCAGTCGGCGTTGGCCAGCTGCAGGCGTCAAGTGAGAGAAAGTCGTACAAACTCTGGATCGGAGTTCAGCTGACGACTCAATCTGCCAGTGTCTAGAAATTCCGAGCCTGAGTAATAATTCCTCGCCTGTGAGAAATACTACGGTAATGGGTTTGATAGCAACGTTCTAAAATTGTCAGCTGAGCCAGTCAAGTGATCAGTACTCGATCATTGCCTTCCCGCCCTTGAAAAGTTTGTGAAAAGTTGTCAGTCAAATCGGACTCGCATGTTGAAGACGTTGGGCAACGAGCAAAATCCTCTACGTACAGAAGAACCCCCAGTATTATTCATAATATGTCTGACAGTTAATTCTCGAGACAAGAATTCAAGTTGAAATTAGGTGCCAGCCTGAGAGTCACGGTGAAGATAAAACTTGAAAAGGTCCACGGAAATCTTGAGTTTGTCGTACGACTCGCGGGTAACCACTTGAACACTTTCCCGTCCATAGAAGTCGACAGGCACTGACATGATAGGCAACGTGCCAGTTGGTCGGCACAAAGAACGCCACCGTGGGGTTTTATTGGCAGGCTGCAGAAAGCCAAATCCAATATTAGAGCAAGGGCACGCGGAGGCCACCTCTAACTAGGAACGGTCAATGCGGGCCCAGAGGAGCCTGGTGTTCTGAACAACGCACTGTAAACATGAACCGCCAACTGGTCCGGTTCAGCACAGCAAGACGCACTCAGCGATCTCCGATTCCGAGTCCGAGCTGCCAGACTCGGAGACCGGAGTTGAGCCTGTTCTCAGGCCCCCTTAGCTGCGGCGAGAATAGACTGCCGTTTCCGAACCGATAAGCTAGGCTGCGTCTTACTCGTAGAGTTGCGCCGGCCCGACGGAGGAGAGAAGCAGCCGCAGAAGTCAAGCTATTCGTGGCGTCGCGCTCTGACCTTGTGAACAGCTCCAAAATTTGATAAATAGTGGTCCGATGGAGAAATTCTGCCACTGCCAAACTAGTCCGGTGAGAGGGAGCAGTGGGTTGACAAACTGAACGGTCTTGAGCGCGGGTACTAATTCGTGTCGTTGGCCTGAGAGCCTTCCTGGAGGAGTAACGAAAATAGTAGGAGTGGGGCTCCCAAAGTAGGACTGAGTCCCACTTTGATGTCCCCGAGTCCTACATTTCATCGCTAACCATGTGAAGTGAGTGCAACGGCGTCGTGAAGGTGTCAGCTGACACGACAGCGGAATTTGCCGTGCAACGACTCGGACGATGCATATTGGTGGATGACGGGGCCGAGTCTGAGGTATCCCTGCGGCTGAAAGGAACGAATGACTTTCGAAGGGTCGAACGAATTATGCACCATGGAGGCAACACTATTGGAAAGCTGAGATCCGAGAGTGGATTTGCTTTCGTCTGGAGGGAGTACTTTGAGATTTGGGCAAAGCTCCCTCTCGTTGTGTTGGAGGAAGAGAAGAATGGAACGCGTATCGTCACAACCACATGATATCGCATCAAGCCATCAGTCGCATCGATCCATGAAGAAAAATGTTCCTTTGGGTTCATACATAGCGGAGACATAAGAGATTGGCTTCTTCTTCGAGTTGTCCTAAGCGAGGGTCCACCAATGATCCACGCAAACATTTTCGTTAATATACATATCGGAAGTCCCGATTTTGCTTATCGGTCAGGTCAAGGTATTCCTGTTGTCCATATGTTGCATTAGATTCAACTGCAAGACTGAGAGGGAGTATTTGACCTTATCCAACTTGACCCGTTCCACCTTTCCATCCGTCCCAACCCGTTCCACGTAAACATTATCGTACGGATCGTCTGCAGGCGGCTCGGCGTCCCGGCGTCTGTTCTCTGCAATAAGGAGCTGGCGGATGCCGAGGACAAGCAGCATGCAGCAGCCATAGCAGACTCCGATGACCGTCCATGGAACGTGATTACGCGGCTTGTATTTCTGCTGCCACATGAACGGCCCCGCAGAGTTGCCAATGCACTTTAACCAACAGTCAGTAAGGGATGTGATGAAGCAACAAAACAAACATAGGCGCTGAGCATGATCGCGTTCGTAGTCACACGCTTCGTGTGGCCGGCCGTTACAGAAGATAGCCAAGATAGAGAAAGAACTGCGATGGAAAGGTTTTTGTAAGTTCGCATATTCGATGCATAGAAGCCGACACACCGAATCCTGTTGTCCCGACGCCTGTCAACCACACACCAAACAGCAGCCCGACCTTGTTACTCCACGGAAGCGTGTTTATCAGGATGACGCCCAATACGTTCGGCAGGAAATACACAAATGCGACCCACGCGCGGCTATCCAATCTCGCTGAAATCCGCACGCCCGTGAAGATGGTGACAATTTCGACAATACCATCGACACAGCCCAACAAAGTTGTCTGCAGAACCGTGAATCCAAAGGACGAGACTATGATCTGGCGCTGGTTTGTCAGCGAGTTCGGGATGTTGTCTAACGCGGAGAAGAGCGCGAAGAGCCACGTTTTGGGGTCCAACAGGGCCTCGATCATTCTACATACATAGCTGTTAGGGAAGGTAGAAAAGAGAGCAAATACGTACTGTTCCTTCTTGAAGCGTTTGTTCTCGACGCCAGTTTGATTGACTTTGATTCGCAAGACAGCCACCGCCCGCTCTTGAGGGGTTAAAAACCACGCAGAGGTGGGAGAGTCCGGGAAGAAGAACCTGTTTTGCATCAGTGATATCCACATAACTGCACGCAACCCATACCAGAACAAAAGACTTGTTATAAATGTCAATATGCCGGTTATGATCATTAACCACTGCCATGGCTTGAAATTGGCCGTATGGATGTGAAGCGAGCCGAAGGAGATGAAACCGGAGATAATTTGGGCCGTCCCGTTCATAAGAACTAAGAGTTAATTTTGTCAATCAGCGAATGGTACAATTGCTGTCGGGAATGGACCTACACCAGTAACCAACTCGTAGCGTCTGCTCCTTTCTCGTGTAGAACATGGACGAAACCAGCATGAAGCCCGCGGTGATACTGCCCTCGCACATTCCAAGAACGAGCCGAGCAGCAAAGAGACCGCCGAAGCTTTTACAAGCTGCGTGTGAGCACAACGCGACAGCCCATACGAAGATGTTGATGCTGTCGAAGCCGTCAGCAAAGAAGAGATGCCAATGGAAGCGAAAAAGCGGGAACCTCATCCACTTGGCAACAGGAAAGCGCTGGAGAGCAAGGTTCTGCGGGAATTCGAATACGAGGTAGGAAAGGTAGAAAATCGTGCCGAGCCAGTTGTATCTGAGCTGTGTTAGATGAGGGAGATTGTGCGACGAGAAGAGCGCACTGGTTGGTCGTGAGATGGGTTGATTTCCTGGGACAAAATCAGACGGGGCTTTCGGCCAAGAATCATGAACCACGCACTGAATACCCAGAATCGCAGAGCTTCCGAGTGTCGTCTTGTCTGTGAGAATGTTAGGCTGGGAAGGATTGCAGTGTTTGGGACAGACCCATGAACTGTATCCAATACAAAACTAGGTGCTTCGGTTGAGAGTTGGACGAAACAGACAACTAGGTGGTGGTACTCACTGCACATTAACGGGAGAATGTGCCAATCGATTTTGCGACTGGTAAACGGTTAGAAGCGGTGCCAGGGAGGAAGAAGAACTACGGACAGGACACGATCCGCCTCCACGGGGTCGAGCTCCCCGTGGTCACCCGCAACAAGGGCCGCACCTGTATCAACCTCTTCCGCTGTAACCGCGACAAGATGTCCCTGCTTCTCCCCGCCCTCATCGCTGCTGCCCTTTTCAACACTCGACCGGACGTGTTTCTCGTCGTCGCCCATCGAATTCGTGACCGGTGTCGGGGTGGAGGCGGGAAGGAAGGGGGCGATAAGGCACTCTCCACGTCACGTAACCCGCGTGCGAGAATGCGAGAGCTTTATAAAACCACCAGCTTCGATTCATTCAGCTTTGGTGCATCTAGTCCCACGTCTACCGCCCGTCTAGCGCAAGAGTGGCGAGATAAGAGCCAGGGCAGGAAAGATCGAAGTCACGAAGAAACTTCAAGAGTGAAAGGGTGATGCCGGTGGAAAGATACTGGCTTTGTGTCAGCGAGTGAGTCTATGAGTAGCAGTGCAACCCACATGGAGCTGAAAAGATGCACATCGTTGCTTGAAGAGCAATGTCTGTTGGTCTGGTGGGTTTTCATAATTGAGAGGTTGTGACCTCTGGTCACAGGCGCCGATTTCATTGAAACTGTTTCCTTGTTCTTCCCAACCTCAACAGCCCTCAACCCAGAAACTAGTGAATCCCGCTCTTGCCACTCGAGTCTCAGTGGGCAGTGCGCTCATGATGCACCTTCCCACAAAAGCTGTCGAATAAGTACTCCAAATGCTGTGCGTCAACCCATTCAAATCTCCACTCCGTAAATCATATAAATGGCTCAGCGCTCAGGTCGCATTCATCAGCCACATCTTATGTGACCTTCCAACATGGCCCTTGAAGCGACTCCTCCTTCATATGCCCCGCTCGAAACCTTCCGTGTTGGCGGCAAAGAGACTCCAAAGAACCGCCCGTTCGTCACTGTCGAACAGCTGAAGGACCACCTGGCCCTGCTGCACGCGTTTGCAGAACTGCGTCAGCGCGTCGAAAACACATCTCAAGAAGACCTCGGCATTGAATATTTTCCCCCACCGGAGGAGAAGGAGAGGAGATGGTCGGTCTTCGTCGGATTTGCCGTCGAAAGGTGCGTTTTCAAGTTCATAGTCCGTTTCGGACAAACTAATGACTGTATATCTCTCCTAGGTTCGAGCGCTGGTGCCAAGCCCTTCAACCGGCTCATTCCGATCGAGGAATAGCTGTAATTATGCCGCCGTTGGATGTAATGATGGTTTGGCACACCTATCTTCTGAATCCTGGATGGGCAACGGAGGATGCTCTGCGCGTTTCGGCTCTAAAAGGACTGTGGAAGGCTGGAAAGGCGTTCGCGGCGGCTCTGGTGCGTATCTCCAATTCTGCACTCAACACCGTCACCAACTCTCCTGTCAGGGCATGGGCCTCGGTCAACTCCTGGATATTATTCCCACGAACGAAGACAATCGAGTACAAGACTGGGTCTCGATGACAGCAACACCATTCGACCCCTTCGAATCCATGACGAAATTGCTCGAGAAAACAGTGATCTGTCCAAAATGTGATAGTGTGAACTCTACTCGTCGGTTTTCCTGTTCTGGCTCATGATTCCGACCATTAAATATTATATTTCGCAGCCTTTCTTTGCGCCGATGGAACGGGTTTTCTGCAGCTCAAATTCACCCGCGTCTGCAACAACCCAACGGACGATTGCTTCTTCAATATTACGCACGATGCGCTCATCAGGAAACACGGATTTGGCTACATCTCTGTATGCCATGACTATAAGTGGCAATGTAGCAGCTGTTGCACTACCGTAGCTGTTTTATATAAGCCTGTAGTGCTCTGTAGAGCTATACATACTACAGCTAATGATACATATGCACAAATATATTATACTAGTAGCTCCAAGAACTACTCGACTCACATGTAGCCCTGAAGCCATGTGGAGTAGGTATTGCTGGCAACTCTGAGAATATTGTCTTTATTATCACAATTATACTATGTATGGTGACAGAAAAATCAAGGCAGCTAGAACCGAATATGATTAGCACCACGGGCAAGTGTTGCCGCCAGCTGTGCCTCCCGCCGCTGGTGATACTCGACTATAAGGTACATACTGTAACGGAAAAGATAAAAATCTCTGTAACGTAAGTAAGGATTAAAATAAAAGGCAACAGCTTGGTTCAGTATGCTGTTTGTATCCCAGTTGGAAGGTGTGCTGGAGGGGAATTTGGGTGTCAAGTGACAGGTTTGGAGGATGTCGGACAATGGAATGATGGATGCTCGTCGCTGTCCTGCCGTTGTTGAGTGGGAAATACGTGATAAACCAGCAGCAGAGGTGAAGTCGTCAATGGTGTTGCGGAATGGAGTGAACCAGTGGACGTAAACAAGGGGTTCCGTGTAGGTCGTTATGCCGAGTGGGAGGCGAAATATGAGCTTCACATGCGCAACCTGAAGGCCTAAAAATCATCAGTGAGTCAAGGCAGAGGGTATTAGGCATGAGATCACCACTGAGAGGACCCTCTTTCCAGTCCCTTGGGCCAACACGGACCAGAACTGTACTAAACTTGGCTGGACTGCTCCGTCGAATGCCTTGGTTGGATATGGACCCAGCTGTGGGGAGAATGGCATGGATGATGTCGGAACGCTCGGACTCGGTTTCAGCAGCACGAACAGCAGGCAGATGAAGAGTGGATGCGGAAGCTTGCCGATGATCTGGTACGACCAGATACAAATGAGGCCTCAGACTTTCTTGCGTAAGTCTATGCCGAATACAACCCAACTATTTTCACAGCTTATAAACTGTCATTTGCAGCGGTACAGTGGCGGCGGCTATTGATGCAACACCCAAATCGGGAAGAAATTGTCACACATGTGTTACATCGAGTGAAAACGCACCATTTTGGTATTTACAGCTATGCTACAGGCTAGAAAATATACAGCAAGGGTACAGTAGGGTACAATAGGTGTATTGGTAGTCAATCCAAGCAAAATTATTGGCTTTTAGCTGCACTAGACGACGAGGAAGGGAGTTGTAGGTATGAATAGCGTACTGCTTGAAGGATTCCGAGTGCCAGATTTCGCGGCACATTTCCAGCAGCCTCTCGTTGGTTGCAACTGTTGGGTAATCCGGGTGTTGACGAAGCCGACGCTTGAGCTCGGCCCACACGTTCTCGATCTGCGAGATGTCTGGTGATGCGGGTGGCCATGGCATCGTGTTGATGCCCTCGTCCTTGAGGAATGCCTTGGCCAAGCGTGATGTGTGCTTCGGGTCATTGTCCTGCTGGAAGATGAGGAAGGAGCAGCGGGTGGGGGAGCTGTCATAGTGGTCGATGATGGGGAGGAGACCGCGTTTGAGAATGTCGACATATTGATGCGCGTTCATGAGACCTTTGACTTCGATGAGCTCGCTGACGCCCTCGGGGTGAATGGCGCCCCAAAGCATCAGCTTCATTTTGCCTCGACCATGCCGGTGCTCTTGCTGCACATTGCGGGGCACCAGCAGATCCTGGCCACGACGCCGCCGGCAGTAACGACGCCCATCCGAGCCGCCAACCATTATCTTTGTCTCGTCTGAATTAATCATGACACCGCGAGCAAAGATAGCAGGGTCGGTCCAGGACTCGAACTGCTCGTACCACTGCTTGCGGAGGTTGTAGTGGCGGGGTGTGAAGGGGAGTTTTTGACGCTGGACGTGGCCAACAAGACCATGACGATGGAGAGAATCCCGGACCTAAAGAAAAAAGTCAGTGAAAAGTGATTGGAGTGATGCATTGTCGCGCACCGTACGGGCTGGAATGTGCGGGAACATAACCCTCTGCACATCTGCCCCATCCGTAACGTCCCCTGCCTCCAACGCCGCCTCCACCCGCTCGATATCCTGCTCTGTGATTGATGTCTTCCTCCCGGCCTTGCCCTTCTGCTTGTCAAGGTGCACATTGTCACCGTTCTTTTTGACACTCTTGTAGTTCCGAAAGAGTGCCGACTTGTCGCACATGGACAGGCGCGGGTGCTCAGCGATCCTCTGCCACGACCACTCAAAGTCGTCCCGCAGCAGGAGGACCTGCGCGCTCTTTCCAGGAGTAACCAGCGAGTACTTGCGGCGCTGCCGAGGCGTACCCGGCTGTGTGAGGTGCACAGGCATGGCCAGGAGGAGGGAGGGAAGATGTAAGGGCAACCCCGGAGGCCTGAGATCAAGGTCCTAGCAGGGGAGGATCCAAAGGCGTGAACATTGGTAAGCGAATACAAATGAAGCTGACCTAGCAGGGGAGGATCCAAAGAGAAGAAACTCTAAGGGTCCGCCTGCTAGGTAGCTGACTATATACTGCTTGTCCGTAGCTGCCGCTGTCGGGCACAGAAGGCTTGGGCGGCCGTCGCAGGCGAGGTCCCAGGGCGACCGTCGGGAGGGCGTTGACGGATCGGTGATTGTGCGGGCGAGATGGAGGGCCGGACCGGAGACGGAACCGAGTCGGACCGGAATCGGAGGCGTCTCCGAGGGGCCGAAAGGGAGGTTCCCCTGACATCACCCCCCTTTGAATGCGGCGTCCCGGCGCATAGACCGGAACGGAATCGAGTCGAAGGTCGCGGAGGCGATGTGTCGTGGCTTGCCAGGGTACTTACGATAGAACTCCGCAACTTTCTCCGGGCGAAGACGCGGTCGAAGCGGACCCATTGGTCGTGGCGATGCGTCGTAGCCTTTCCATCTGACGAAGTAGTTCAGCCGTTTATACCTCACCCTTGCGTCCAGGATTTCCTCTACTTCCCACTCCGGGACTCCGTCCTCGAGGTCCGGAGGGGCTGGTCGTAGCCGGGGCGTCCGTCGAAGGGGGTCGTCCTGGGCGAGCTCGAGCTTGACGACGGGGAAGACCGGGTGGAGCTTCGAGTAGCGCGGAGGGAGGTCGAGCTTGTAGGCACCTTTGCTGATCTCCGCGACTATCTTGAACGGTCCAAGGCGGCGATGGGAGAACTTTTCCAGGAGGGGCGAGTCGTCCTGATGTCAGAGGCATCCAGCCAAACACGGTCGCCAACCTTAAACTCCGGAGACGGAGTCCGTCTCCGGTCGTAGTAGCGCTTGTACTCCTCTTTGGCCTTAGTGAGCGCGGCCCTGGCTTCAGCAACACCAGTGGCGATCCGGTCGCGGAACTCGTTCACTGACTCCATGGCGGAACGGACTCCGGGTTCGAAGCCCATGCGCGGGAGCCGTCCCTGTCCGTCATGAAGGGGACCTGCTGCGTGGAGGAGTGAACGTGGTTGTTGTAGGCGAACTCCGGGCCGGAATCAGCTCATCCCAGTCGTCCTGCTGGTAGTTGGTGAAGATCCGCAAGTACTGCTCCAGCTCCTGGTTGACGCGCTCTGTCTGACCGTCTGTCTGCGGGTGGTACGCGGTAGACGTGGCGGGCTTGATGCCGATTAGACGCCAAAGTTCTCGGGTGAAGTCCGCGATGAACTGCGAGCCGCGGTCGGAGACGTACTTCTCCGGAGTCCCATGGTGCCGCCAGACATTCCGGTAGTAGAGGCGGGCTGCCCCTACTGCATCGACCGTCGTATGACACTCTGAGAAGTGGGCGCGCTTTCCGAGGGTGTCGACGACGCCATGATCGGCGTCGTACCCATGGGCTTCGGGAAGCTCTACGATGAAGTCGACGGAGACGGTATGCCAGCGTTCGGGGCGTTTCCGTGGGGTGCAGTTCTCCGTGGGGCAGTCTCCGGAGTGCCTTGGTGCGACAGCACAAGTCACAGGTCGCAACATACCGGCCGATATGGCGAGACATCTGAGGCCACCAGTAGTTCCGGGAGACCAACTCCAGGGTCTTGAAACGACCTGCGTGTCCGGCGACTCGGGTGTCATGGCAGAGCTCGATGATGCGTCTCCGGAGGTCCTTGTCCTTTGGTACGACGATCTTTCCTCGGAAATGGAGAAGACCGCCGGAGACGGCCCACTCGTCAGAACGTGAGGAGCGGGGGCCTCGAGCTTGACCTTGAACCTTAAGAAGTTGCCGGGCCGCTAGTGCGACGGGCTCCTCCAGGTCAGGCTCACCGGAGAGGGCATCACGGATGTCGCGGAGGAGTTCAGAGCCGGGACCAGAAACGGAAACGCCCTCGAGTGCGCGGGACGTGGAAGAGTTCAGGCCGCAGAAGGACGACATCGGAGTTGTCGGAATCGACTCCGTGGTCGGGTCTCCGGGAGAGGGCGTCAGGCCGACCCATATCGCGGCCAGGCTTGTGGTGCAGCGTGAAGTCGAACCGGGAGAGGTACAGAGACCACCGGGCCTGTCTCCGGTTGAGGTGCTGCGTCTTCCTGAAGTACTCCAAATTCTTATGGTCAGTCCAAATCTCGACAGGGTGCGCGGCGCCCTCGAGGAAGCGTCTATACTCCTCGAGTGCGCGGATGATCGCGAGCATCTCCTTGTCGTGGATTTCGTAGTTGCGCTGGACATCATTTAAGCTTTTGGAATAGAATGCTACAGGGTGCCACTTCCCGTCCGGGGCGGATTGTGAAAGAACCGCCCCCGTCCGCATAATCAGAGCTGTCCGCCTCGAGTCGGAAAGGCCGTGCGTCGTCCGGAATCGCCAGGACCGGTTCCGAGGTGACCGCGTCCTTGATCGCTTGGAACGCGGAGGCCTCCGCGTTGCCCCAAGTCCATTGCTGGTCCTTCTTGGTGAGCACGAAAAGAGGGCGCGCAAGGGTCGAGAAGTCCCGAATGAACCTGCGGTAGAAGTTAGCGAACCCAAGGAACTGCTGAATGTCCTTCTTGTTTTCCGGAGTCGGCCAAGCGGAGACGCCTGCGACCTTGACGGGTCCATTTCGACGTGGTTGTGGGAGATGATGACTCCGAGGTACTCGATTGACGATTTTTCAAAGTCGCACTTCTCCGCTCGAAGGTACAACTTGTGCTCCCGGAGTCGCCGTAAGACCTCCTGGACAATCTGCCGGTGTTTCCGGAGGTCGGAATGGGCGATCAGGATGTCGTCAAGGTAGATCATGACGTCTCCGGAGAGGATGAGATCCTGGAAAATGTCATTCATCATCGTTTGGAACGTCGCGGGAGAGTTTGTCAGGCCGAAATACATCACCAAGGGCTCGAACAGGCCTCGGTTAGTCCGGAAAGCCGCTTTCCACTCGTCACCTTCCTTGATCCGGACGTTGTTGAAGCCCCAACGGACGTCGAGTTTGGTGAAGTAACGAGCGCCTTTGAGCCGGTTGATGAGGTCGTTGATCAGCGGAAGGGGGTACCGGTTTTTGACAGTCATCGCATTGAGAGCACGGTAGTCCTGGACGGCGGAGTCCGCCGTCCTTCTTCTTGACGAAGAAGACCGGAGACGCCATCGGAGACTTGGAGGGGCGAATCCGGCCCGTCGAAAGCCCTTCCTCGATGAACGCGTCGAGCTCGCGTTGCTCGAGGGGCGAGATGGGGTACACCTTGCAGTTGGTGGGCTTAGCGTCGGGGACGAGTTCAATGGCGTGGTCCCAGGCTCTCCGCTCCGGTAGCGTGTCGAAGGACTCCTTGTTGAAGACGTCCTGGAACTCCTTAGCCCAGTCCGGGATCTCGGAGGGCGGAGGGGCGGAGTTCCTGGCGAAGGCTTCGGCCAGGCGTTGCGAGACAGTACTGCCAGCGCGTATCTCCTCCGAGGGGCGGAACGAGGTGTAGAAGATGCGGTCACCATCTTCAAGCTGACCATCGTCATCGTCGTCGTCCGGAGTCCGGCGTCAGATCAGGCAGGCTGGAGTCGTCACCGGAGACGGAATCGTCCCCGTCATCAGACCCAGAAAGGTCCATGGCGCAGACCGAGGGGAACGGGCCGGAGCGGAGACGCTTCTGAAGCGACCGGAGTCGCCGCAACTCGGTCCGTTCGACGCGCTCTTCCTCACGGCAGGTCGAGCAATTGCGGGGGCACCGTGTCATCTTGACCTCCTTGGTTTCCCAATTGATCTCTGGGTTATGTTTCCGCAACCAGGAATACCCCAGGATGAGGTCTTGCTTGCCAAGATGGGTGACGGCCAGCTGAACTCGTTCGGCATGGCCCTTGTAGCGCAGGACCAAGTCCGCGATCTGTTTGATGGAGCCAGCGTCATTGGGGGTGCCATCGACATTGAAAACCGGAATCGGCTGATCGAGGGTGCGGACCGGAATGCCATTCCGAGCAACATAGTTCGTGTCAATGAAGTCGGAGGTGGCACCACAGTCGACAAGCCCAGAGAGTGAGAGCTTCAGCGCGCTGGTGGTGGACTTGAGCTCTAACGGGAGGTGGAGGGAGTTCGCCCCAGGGGCAGCGGCAACGGTGTACTGCTTGGGCAGTTTCTTTTCCCAGGCAGTGAGGCGGCGGAGGACGATGACCGGAGTCGCGGGCGGAGTCGGAGACGGAGTCGAAGCGGGGGCAGGAGAGGGTGTGTCTTTCGTTTCGGGCTCATTGTAGGGCAAAGAACTGCATTCATCATACAAAGAGGCAAAACGATTTATAGACGCGAACGAGGGCACACCAGTCACTCGTCGCGGGGGGACAAAATCCTCTCCGGCCATCGACTCCGCTGCCGTCTCCGGCAGGGCAGTTGTGTCCGTGTAGCGGGCGATCAACTCCGCTAACATCTCGTCACCAAGTTGTTGGATCACCTCGTCGAGGATGTCCATTGAGCGGACATCGGCGGGGAGGGGGCAATCCCGGGCGAGATGGTTTGGGTCGCCGCACCTGAAGCAGGCACGACGAGGGGCACCCCGAGCCCTGGTGCGATCCAACTCCATAGGGACGGGAGCTGGAGGCGCCGGAGCGGGGGCGCGGGCCGCGGGTGGCACGACCGGAGCCACCGGGCGGAAAGGGGCCGGAGCCGGGATGCGGTTGACCGGAAACGGAGTCCGAATCAAACCGCCAGGCGTCTTGGGGGCGGCTGACTTGATCAGCTTGGCCCGGACCAGGGCCTCGTATTGACGGAAGGCCCGGGTGCGCCAGCTAAGGTAATCCCGGAGGTCCGGGGGGTCGTTCGAGGACGTGATTCCGTTATTGATCAGGGGGTCAAGTCCGTGGCGGAACTTGGTCACCTTGACCAGCGCGTCTTCGAATCCGGCGAGGTCCATCAGGTCCTCGAAGTCGTCGGTGTACTGGTAGACATCCTTTGTGCCCATGTGATAGGCGGAAGTCTCCAGCTTGGAGAGAGCGTGATCTTGCTCGTTCTCCTCAACGAACCGGAGTCGAAACTCGGAAACGAACGAGCCCCAGGACGGAAACGGAAACGGGGCTTTGCTTCCGTGGCGCTCCGCCCATTGCTGAGCGGGTCCTTCTGCCATAAACGACATGGCATAGCGGACGGCCTTTTCCTCGCTCGCCTCTCCGTTGACCACGAAGGCCTCAGGGGCAAGGCGGGCGTAGGTGCGGACCGCGTAAAGGAACGCGCGGCCGCGTTTCCGGTCGCCGTTGAAGGTGAACGGGGGGTTTGGTCGCAAGACCAATTTTGAGGCGAGGTTGATGTTGCCAAAGAGGGCCTCGGAATCGCCCTGGACCGGAGTCGGAGTCGGAATCGACGTCTCCGGCGAAGGTGTTTGGGGTCCGCCAGCATTATTAGCGGCGGCAGCGGCAGCGGAAGCCTGGTTGGTGAGTAAAGCAAGGGCCTCAGTTAGGCTATCGATTTTCGCCTCGAGTGAGTCCAGCCGGGCGTCTGCGGTAGGAGTGACTCCGGACGGCATGACGGGTGCGGGGACCACAGGAGTAGAGGAGGAGGGGACAAGTGGCAGGGGCGGTGACGAGGGCAGAACGGACTCGTACTCCGAGCCTGAGTCAGCGCCGAACCTGGCAATCTTGTCCGGTTGATCCCGTAGAGAGTTTCTTCTGCTGTAAGGGCAACCCCGGAGGCCTGAGATCAAGGTCCTAGCAGGGGAGGATCCAAAGGCGTGAACATTGGTAAGCGAATACAAATGAAGCTGACCTAGCAGGGGAGGATCCAAAGAGAAGAAACTCTAAGGGTCCGCCTGCTAGGTAGCTGACTATATACTGCTTGTCCGTAGCTGCCGCTGTCGGGCACAGAAGGCTTGGGCGGCGTCGCAGGCGAGGTCCCAGGGCGACCGTCGGGAGGGCGTTGACGGATCGGTGATTGTGCGGGCGAGATGGAGGGCCGGACCGGAGACGGAACCGGAGTCGGACCGGAATCGGAGGCGTCTCCGAGGGGCCGAAAGGGAGGTTCCCCTGACAGAAGAGGGGTGGCGGAAACCGGGTGCTGCTGGCTTTTATACGACCGGTGGCGCTGGTTGTTGAGGCCAGTGGCGCTTGTTGACTGCCTCATGCAGTCAACAAACACGCCGTGACCCAACAGACGCGTCTGTGGGCCAACGACGCGTCGAGGAAATCAGCCGACAAGGTCGGAGGCAAGTGGGTCACACGAAATAACGCTTTTGATCTACTCTACCAAAATGGGACATTGCATCAATAGCCGCCGCCACTGTACATTGTACACACCCGGGAATACCAAGAATATTGCACATGCTCGTCGAGTCAAGACAGCGATCCTGCAAGCGAGAACCTTCAAAGCACGCAACAACGATGCTCTGACGGCAAGGGAGGTTATGCGTAAAGCTAGCTATAGCTTTTCGATTCTCAAGGGGATTATGTATGGTATACTCAGACCAGATGAAAGACTGTAAGTCCATCCGCATACTCGCTTCATCTGTAGCCTGACTTGAGATTGTAGGTTCCGGCGTTTAACAAATGCGTACACCGATGGACGGATATTCTCCGTCGAACTTGTCGCTGCGGTCAGCTTTCCTAAATCTCTTCACACATAATTGACTCAAATGACGCAGGTCACCCGCCAGAACTCTTTTGTGGGCAAGATGTACGACCTGAAATGGACACAGCCTGGTGCATTTGAGACAATTGACGAGGAGGTCGTTCTCTGGCATGCAATCGCCCGTTACCATGCGTAAGCACGCTCACAGTATCTTTCTTCAACTTACACACACTATGTAGCTTCCTAGACCTCATGTCTGGCTTGCCCATACATTTCCTAGTACCGACCTTGGACATCGACCTAGCCTGGCACACACACCAGTTACGCTCTTATGATTACTACTACGATACGAAGAAATACGTCGGCTCCTTCATCGATCAGTAGGCAAACCCTTCTTACCGTCTTCCGTGTTCAATACCTATCCAGTGATGATAAAGTTGAAGAAACCCATCTTTCCAACTCTTTTGACACCACCGCCTCGGCCTGGCGCTCCCGCTTCTTCGGTGTCCAATACACATACTGTTAGAGCAGGCGCGGCTGGCCATATAGCCGGCGCGTCTCTATAGAGACGCGTACTTTCACATCCCCCTATGATACCGATTGCCCAGTTGATCTCTTACTTATATCGTACTGATACAGGAGCGCACCTCAGTCGTTCACTCTAAAGTGCCCCGACTGAGGTGCGCATCCCTACTTACCATTTCTCACTTTACTCATTCTGTAATAGTTCTATTCTTACAGGTACATACAATACACTAGTCGTTCACTCTAAAGTGCCCCGACTGAGTTCTATTCTTACAGGTTATGGGCCCCGTCGCATAATCTTGGACTGAAAGAACTCGAGGCACAACTACCAGCAGACACCGCTCGTCTGAACTATTGACTCACCCAGACCAACATCGACCAGCTTGACGCTATTACTACCCCTGACTTGCTCAAGATGAGCACGAATTCGAACTCGCTGACTATTCTCCCAGACGGGGAGAAGTTTGATGGAAATGGCTTCGTAGGATTCGAAACCAAGTTTACTGCCATCGCAGACGCGCGCGGATTGCGCGGATATATCCTGGGCGATATCGCTCGACCCGCTCCTACTCCTACCCCTAATCCATCAACGACTGCGACTACCACCCCCCGCATCCGTTCCGCTTCCCCCCGAGCCCACTAGTATCTACTCCACCAAGCCCAGCCTTGACGAATGGGTCCACCGCGATGCAATGGCCAAGGCATTGATCATTCTCAATGTCAAGGACCCTATCGGCCTTGGGATGAAAACAGACGGCACTGCTGCTGAGGCGTGGAAATCCTTGACCGACAATCACAAGCGAGTAAACGCAATGGCATTGATCCAGGCCAATCGCGAACTTGTGTCGAATTTCCTCCAGCCCGGCGTCCCAATGCAAGAGCACATCGCCAAGATGCGTACCCTTTGGCGGAGCGCAAACGACCAAGGCGCAAATGTCGGTGATGACGCATTCCGCATCATCTTCATCGGCTCGCTGGGAGAAGAATGGGACAGTATCGTGCCTCAGCTGTACCCTCTCAAAACGTCAGCAGAAGTTATCAGCTTAATCACGATGCATTCCGAACGCATCGCAAGTCGCGCACTCACCACCTCAACCACTCAACCTGCCCAAGTGCTCGCTACCAACGCAGTATCCCCTGGCGCAGCGAGACGAGCTGCTCGGAAGGCGCTCGTATGTGTTAACCCCAAATGCGGCGCCGACCAGCGAAAAGGTCATCTGATTGAAGACTGCTTCTGGCCTGGCGGTGGAAAGGAAGGCCAGTGGCCAACTTGGTGGAAGGGAAAACGCTCAGCTGGTGGAGCAAGCGTCAACGCGGTCGACACATATGCTTTTGCCGTCGTAACTTGGGAGACCCCGGATTGGTCCATTCCCGCCGCAACAGTCAATGTTTACGACCCTGATGGGACACAGTTGGTCGGGTTTCAAGGCGAAGAGGTACTCGCCTCGCCCGAGATGCTCATGAACTGGCCCGAGGTAACGGAGGCGATTGTCCACGTGACCGTGCCCCGAACAGCCGACGAAATTGCCCAGTCGGAAGAGCCAGTCTCGGGAACATCGTTCAGTTTGGTTGAGGGCTTGTCTGACTCATTTCGGTTGTCCGATTGCGACCTGAGCTCGGATGAATCTGACACTGAGTCCATCCACGACGACGACACACGTACCAAGCGTTGACTGAACGTGAACGCGACGCGACCAGGATTCTTCAGCAAGGACAACCTTACCCTGGGGACACGTCTATCCCAACCGAAGACCGGTTCCTAATCTACCGCACGTCAGACACCGAACACGTCCTGATGGATAATCTAACCGACAAGGACACTCAATTCCCCTCGAGTTTCATTGACAATCCTGAGCCTAATTTCGACTTGTCAGCCTGGTACAGAGCGCACTGCCAAAGCGAACTTGCCTGCGCCAACACGACTGTGCTGGCGGTTGAGACCCAACGATCGTACATTGTTGTGGCAGACTCGGCCGCCACCGACCACTGCTTTTGGCGCCGCGAGGATTTTACGGAGTACCATCCGGCAGAGAGCGAAGGCAACGCAGCTGAAGGATCCAAGTTCAGAATCCTTGGCAGTGGGACCGTGAAGAAGACCTACACATTCAATGGCCGACGCAAAGAGATCCTCCTCCATGCCCTCCACACCCCTGACATCATATACAACCTTATCTCGATTTCGCGGTTAGACGAGAAGGACTTCGGAGTCGAATTCCGAAAGGGGAAGGCGTCGTTTAAAACGCCAGGAGGCGAAGTCTTTATGGAGGGAAAGCTCGAGAATGGGATGTATCGGCTGGATTTTGACCAGGCCGATGTGACTGCTGCCGCAACGAACTCGCGAGACATGCCGGCAAGCAGGGAGACGTGGCATCGACGTCTTGGACACATCGGCAACAGCGGGATGGACATGTTGCTGGCTGGGAAGCATGTCGAAGGATTGAGCGTAACAGCAGGGGTAGACCACGGCCTATGCGAGGATTGTTTGGCGGGGAAGCAAACACGGAGGCCATTTGATGGAGTACACGAGCCAGAGAAGGCGATTGGCGAGCGAGTTTACATGGATCTGTGGGGTCCCGCACAGCTGGTCGGGCTTGGGGGAGCTCGATGGGTCCTGCACGCAGTCGACGGCTTTTGTGGGGGGCCATGGGTCTTCTTTCTGAAGGACAAGTCGGCAGCAACGTCACTCGAGGCCTTTAAACGGCTGAAAGCCCAAATCGAGACGCAGAGCGGCCAGAAGATTCGAAAGCTTCGAGTGGATGGTGGGCGGGAGTGGATAAACGAGAGCTGGGATGCATACCTTGGAGCGGAAGGTATCATACTTGAAGTAACCACTCCTCACTCATCAGCACAGAACGGCGTCGCGGAACGCGGTATACGCACGACGATTTCATTTGCGCGCTCGCTGCTGGCTGACTCATCACTCCCAAAGTCCTTGTGGCCGAAGGCAGTAGAGGCAGCGGCCTACTTGCAGTGGTTCCACCCGAAAAGTCGTGCTGGTGGGAAGACACCATGGGAGGTCTACCATGGGAGCAAGCCAAACGTCGCTCACCTGCGGCGTATTCGGATCAGTCGCTTACGCGAAAATCGTCCCTATCACCGACGCCGGAGGCAAATTGAATCCCCGATCAATCAAAGTCGTCTTGATCGGATATAACGGCACTGCGGGTTACCAAATGTGGGACGCTGAAAAGCGTCGCTTGTTCTCTGCCCGCGACGTGGTCTTCGACGAAGGAGCGGGTCACTGGTCGCGTCCGCCAGCTGGGGGAGCGTTGGAGGTCGCTGGGGACGCTGATGATGGCGTGGATGAACCGCATGTTTCTGTTGACTCTAGTCTTGACGTCGCTAACAAGTTTGGTTCCGCAGACGCAGATCTTGGTGCCCCAACGCAAGAAGATCCTAAAGCGCCTCTCGCTTCTGCTGTACCGGAGACCTCCCGCCGGTCTGGACGCACTCCTGCAATGACAAGAGCCATGCAAGAATCGCTTGACTACCGGTCCGATGAAGCAGCGGCGAAAGCTGCAGGCGAGGATTGGACTAACCAGCGCAAGCGCCCCAGACGGACGCGGGCGGCTGCCGCCTTCAATATTTCGACCCTGGTGGTACCAAAGGACTACAAGGAGGCAATGTTGCATCCTGAAATCTGGGTACCGCCGATGGGGAAGGAGTACGCGTCTCTTGTGGGGCGTGAGGTGTGGACGCTTGTCGATCTACCCCCGGGGGCGAATGTAATTGACAGCAAATGGGTGTTTGCTGTCAAGTACGATGCCAACGGCGCGATAATCAAGTGGAAAGCCCGACTTGTAGCCAAAGGATTCCAGCAGATTGCCGGAGTGGACTTCTTCGAGACGTATGCTGGTGTTGTCAGATACGAATCACTTAGAATGCTCTGGGCAATCTGCGTGGACGAGCCTGGCTGGGTCATGTGGGCCATGGACGTCGTCAGCGCGTATCTGAATGCGGAAATGACAGAGACCGTCTACATGCGTCAACCCGAGGGATTCGTAGTCCCGGGGCAGGAGAGCAAGGTCTGCCTCATGTTGCGCTCACTGTACGGCATGATGCAGTCGGGTCGCAACTGGGCGCATGAACTCAATGCTACTCTAAGTGCTCTCGACTGGGTTCGGTCGCGCGCAGACCCAGCGGTCAGAATTCGTCAATCTGCAAACGGAACGTCTATTATGGGAGTGTATACAGACGACATGGATGGGATATCTTCGTCGAGCGCAGCTGCGGAGGAGGCGATAGATGGAATCAAGAAGGCGTATGAGGTCACCGAGGTTCCGCGTACTGCATCCTCTCTTGGGATGAGCGTCACGTACGACGAGGAGGCAGGAATCATCACGGTGTCGTCCCGTCCTTATCTCGAGCGAGTACTGACACGCTACAACATGGCAGACTGTAACCCAAAGGCGACTCCACTTCCCCTCGGCATCATCTTATCCAAGTCGCAAGCGCCCTCGACTCCAGCTGACATCAAGTACATGGCCGACAAGCCCTATCGCGAGGCCATTGGGTCGATTTTGCATGCCGCAAACCACAACGCGACCCGACATCGCTTACGCAATTAATCGCCTGGCGGCGGTTCGTCCAGAATCCCGGCCCAGCACACTGGAAGGCCGTGCAGCACCTCCTGGCCTATATCAAAGGCACTCTGGACTATCGACTTCGTTATCAGCGCGGGTCGGCGGGTGGGGTTAAACCCATTGGATGGGTAGACGCGGACTACGCGTCAGACATCGACACGCCGCAGGTCGACTTCTGGAGAAGTCTTCATGATGTCGGGTGGGCCGGTATCTTGGTCATCGAAGAAACAAGCAACAGTGGCAACATCTACGACAGAAGCGGAGTACGTTGCGCTTGCTCGCGGTGCGAAACAAGCTATGTGGATGAACTCATTCCTCGACGAGTTGCGAATGCCGCAAGAGCGACCGGCTACCATTTTTACCGACAACATGGGCGCTGCAGCCTTAGCTCGCGATCCAAAAGGCCACGCGCGCGTCAAACATATAGATGTGCGCGAACACTATATCCGCGAACGAGTTGAGGCCGGCGATATTGAGGTTACTCATGTACCCTCGGGGGACAACATCGCCGATATATTCACAAAGATCTTGCCGCGAGATGCGCATCGCGGACATGTCCGCGCGTTGGGACTGGTGGCTTAAGAGGAGTTGAGGTATGGGAGCGGGGCGAAGAAGCCCGTACGTACATTCTTTTCTTTCATTTTCTCTTTCTACTTATATGGACATCCTCGCCTGGGGGAGTGTTAGAGTAGGCGCGGCTGGCCATATAGCCGGCGCGTCTCTATAGAGACGCGTACTTTCACATCCCCCTATGATACCGATTGCCCAGTTGATCTCTTACTTATATCGTACTGATACAGGAGCGCACCTCAGTCGTTCACTCTAAAGTGCCCCGACTGAGGTGCGCATCCCTACTTACCATTTCTCACTTTACTCATTCTGTAATAGTTCTATTCTTACAGGTACATACAATACACTAGTCGTTCACTCTAAAGTGCCCCGACTGAGTTCTATTCTTACACATACTGTGGCTGCCCACTACCGGGAAAGACCGTCGGCCAACGACTCTCGCGACTTGTTGGTACCAAGGGTAACCCCTCCTACCTTGAGCCGCCGCACGTCGAGAAAAGTCTCTCCGCAACACATCCCAGCGACCACAACGCAGTCTTCCCTACCGTCGGTGGAGATAAAGCCCGTGATAAGGCTTTAAAGGCGGCAAAGTCAAAACTAAATCTGAAGGACCGAAATGATGCCGTCCCGAAATGTGTTCAGGACCCTGCATTCCTTGTTCCGGTCCCGCTATTCCTGAACCCCACAAGAAGCGCCAACTGCGCTGCCACCTCTGCAACCGTGATTAGCGGTGAGCGGGGCGGCTGCATTGCGGTGAGTAACCAAGCTCCGCCGATACCGTTCTGTCTGTAATTTTCGCTGGTTAGGGGGCCGGGGCGTGTCGCTCGACGAATCCTTACACACAGCCCACTCTACCTATCACGGTAGGTGTACGACCCTCGGCGGGTCAAGCTTTCCCAGCAGGACGGCCGGTCAACTCGGGGACGACCCGCGGGTATGGCGCGTCAAACGCAGGGTTGATGTATGGTACAGTTGCTGGGGCGGGCATCAATGGCGCGAGCTATTGCGGGGCCTCTGGAAACGTGACTTGTGGTGGAAGCGCCGGTACAGCTGGCGGAGTCACATGTGGTGGTGGAGGAACTACAGGTGGCGGGTCAGCTTGTGGTGGAGGCGGAGGCGGGGGTGGAGGTGGGGGCTGTGGTGGAGGCGGCGGCGGTTGTTAATAATCATAACTGGATATGTATTATCTGCCGTGGTATCATCTGTCGTGGTCTGTGGACTCTTCTCTTGCTCATGGCAACCATTCAGAATCTATTTCAGATGATTCATACACAGATTCATTCGCCGCAGTCGTAGGGACTTGCAGGCCGCTGTCAGAGCAACAAATTAGGCGTCAATCACTACAGTGACTTAGCTGAACAATTTAAAAGGCAGCGGCACAATCGGGGGTCGCACTTCAATACCTTTGCATGCGCGAAGGACGCCAATGAATCAGTCCCAAAATTTGAATCCTCCAAAGGCCTTTCTTGTTGGGGGCAAACAAACACCACCCTTCGTCATCCCCTCCCAAGTCCAGGATCACCTTACTGTGTTGCGCTTGTTTTCGGAGCTGCGGCAACGCGTGGAGAACACATCCGCGGAGGATCTCGGCCTCGAGTATTTCCCTCCAGCCGACGAAAAAGAGCGGAGATGGTCGGTCTTTGTAGGATATGCGGTCGAGCGGTCAGTATATTCGTTTTTTCACTAGTGGTGCTTTACTCCTCATAATCGCTCATGGCCACTATAGATTCGAAAGATGGTGCAAGGCTCTTCGGCCAGAACATTGTGAGCAAGGCATTGCCCTGATAATGCCTCCACTGGATGTATTCATGGTCTGGCACACCTATCTGCTCAATCCTGGCTGGTTTATTGAAGATGTGGTTCGAATTCCAACACTGAAGGGGCTATGGGAAGCGGGGAAAGCACTGGCTGCTGCATTGGTGTGTGTTTTTGGACAATGAGTGCTAATATTAGCTGAAAATAACCATGTGCATTGAAGGGCATGGGCTTAGGTGAACTCTTGCAGACTATTCCTGCAGATGAGGATCATCACATTCATAACTGGGAGAAGATGACAGCCACTCCATTTGACCCATTCAAGTCTCTCTCCACGGTCATTGACAAGACTATCATTTGTCCTAAATGTGGAATGGCCAATCGGGCGCGTGAGTGTTCAGTCAGTAGATTGATCACTTATTAGACTGGGCTATCACCAGCATTCCTTCATGCAGATGGAACAGGATTTCACCAAGTGAACTTCACCATTGTGTGCCAGAATACAGATCATTATTGTGGCTTCAAAATCACTCATGATGTGCTGGCTATGAGAAAGTTATTGGATGATTTGTTGGCTCCGGAGACTCGGACAAATGAACCACTGGCACAGAGCTTTCTAGCGTGTGTTGTTTGCTATAGCTTCTTGATTCTCATCTTTTTAGAGGTACCTTATACACTCCTGGTAACACAAAGAATATTGCCTATGCAAGGCGTGTCAAGACTGCAATCCTTCAAGCTGAATTCTTCACTCCGCGAACTGAGATTGATGTGCCTACAACAAGAACCATTATGCAAAAGGCAAAATACTCCTTTGCAATCATCAAGAGTGCTATCTACACACAACTCAAGACAGATGAGCGTTTGTGAGCCTATCTCAGAATCCATTTATCCAGCAAGTATACTAACAGCCCTTTATATTTCGACGCTTAGAAAATGCCTATACAGATGGACGGATATTCTCTATTGAGCTTGTCTCTGCAGTTTGCAACATACATATACTCATGTGCACCTGAAATACTTAGAAAGTTGCAGGTTATTCGGCAAGGGACCTTTATCCAGAAGATGTGTGACTTGAAATGGACACAGCCAAACACATTTCAGAGACCTGAGGACCAGGTTGTTCTCTCATATGCAATCACCCGCTACCACGCGTAGGTTTTTTTTTTCTAAATATTATTTTTTTGTTTAGAATATCTGATGCTAAAATTAAAGATTCCTGGATCTCATATCTGAATCAACTACCTCCCGCCAGCTTTTTGTTCCTACATTGGATATTGATTTAGCCTGGCATACCCACCAATTGTGTGCTGAAAACTATTATCATGACACCAAAAAATATATAGGACATTTTGTTGACCAGTAACTTACCTTCACTTTTTATTTCTCAATTCTTTGACTAATAACATGTATAGTGATGATAAAATTGAGGAAACCCACCTCTCAACCTCCTTTGATAATACAGCATCAGCTTGGCATTCACGCTTTGGCTCACAGTATACTCATTGTGGATGTCCATACCCAGCAAAGCCAGTTGGCCAGCACTTCTTCCGGTTTACAGTTCGAAGTGCAAGTGATAGTCACTCTCATAGACATTACTTAAAGCCATCACAAAATGCAAGGAGCAAGATGGCCACTCATCCAAGTGGACATAATGTAGTATTCCCAGCTATTGGAGGAGAGGTAGCTAGGGAGAAAGTTTTAAAGGTCCAAACAAGGCCCCACAATAACATCCACAAAATCATCAAGCCTAAATTCAGCTTAAAAAACTTAGTGAAGACCAGCAATAACTATGATGTTACTTTAGCAGGCACCAGAAATAATGAACAGCAACAATGTGCCCAAGACCCAGCTTTCCTTGTGCCTATCTCTTTTGAGTGGCTTTTGCACTCAAGTACAAACTTGAAGGCAAATTGCTCTGCCTTATCTGTAAATATTATGAATGGAGAACGTGGAGGATGCCTAACTGTGAGTGCATGATAGTAACAGATCAATATGAAGACACTAATAATGGTTTTTCCTGTTTTATTAAGGGTGCAGCTTCTTGCCAATCATTCAGTCCTGATACACAACCCAAATTACCAGCAACAGTTGGTGTACACCCATCTCTCACTGAACATAATCACAATACTACAAGTTTGACTGGAGGGATGGAGAATGCTTTTGATGGTTTGGCTAATGGCGGAAGTGGGGGCTGTGGAGGAGGAGGCTGTGGTGGCTGTGGTGGTGGCTGTGGGGGCTAAGCAGATATGAGAGATAAAGTGTACATTATGGTACTATTTCATTACATTTATCACCTGCTTTTGCATGGGAAATTGATAACAAACTCAAGAGATATGATTCTGTAATAACATACAAATAAAATGCTTAACATATTCCTAGAACAGAGGAATGAATTTGTTGGATCATGTCAGGTAATATATTTACTTTCTAAAGGAAATTTAAATTAACAGTGTTTGGATTAAATTTCCTGTTTAGGTAGTTGCCTGCTGTGATATTTGTCAGGCTTTGGGTGGGCTGTGCAAGGCTCCTCCTAAGAATCACGCACCTGGAACAGGACAGACAAATTGTTGGGCCTGCAAGCAGGGCTGAGTCAAACCAAAAGGGCCTATTAAAGCAGTCCCTTGTTGAAGTTGGTGTCAGGGTTGAATCATGTCATAACTGTTGTTCAGGGCCCGATGAGTTGGTGATACCTCCTTGATCCAAGTCTTGAGAGGATTATATAATAGCTTCTTTATATCATCACATACCAGTGTCACATCTTATTGTCCAAGTCCTACAGTATACAAATTATTCATATTATCAAATGGACAAATTTTCCTTTTTAGGAATTCTGTTACACCTGTCATACTATGTGACATTGCGACCAAGACAATAGCATCTGTTACATGCATGCAGATGTGTGTACCAGCTATATATAGTGGAAGTGCATATGACCAGCATCTGGTCATAGTGGTCTTTTGGCCCAGTTGGATTCTGTGTTAGCGCTTCTGCATGAATTTAACAGCATCTGACTTAGGGTGCTGTGAGCTGAAGGTGTTTCGAAACATCTGTGAGTTTTGAAATCTGCTGGAGGTCAGACCTGTTCCGAAACAGGCACGTGATATCCCCGCAATGGCCGAGCGGGCCGAGCTTGCTGACAGCCAATGACAGCTGTCAAAAAACTGTTGAAGTATATAGCTCACGCGCGTCATTCTATACACGTGTATGCTTACATAGATCATTGATTCTTGCTTTTGCCCTCTACCGAGACCTCGCCGCTCTTCGCGTTTGCCTCACCGCGCCCTTTTCCTTTCGCGCCGACGCCGCCTCGCTTGCTGCGCTCAACAGGTTATGGGCCCCGGCCCCTTTTTGTCGGCGCCCGACCCGTAGCCGAGTCACGTCACCACCACGTTCCTTTTTTCCTCTCGCTCCCTACCTTCTCGACATGGGTCTTGCCCCATACCTCGTCACCACTATCGACCACATACAGGACCTCCAGCCAGACAACTTCAAGAAGCATTACCCGCTTCTCAAGCAGTTCTTCCTCGCCGTCGGAGCCGGATGGATCACCCAGGACGAAGAACCGGAGCCGCTCTCAGCCGCCAACGAGAGAATTGACAGTGAGGTCTCCTACCTCATTCTGGCGAAAACACATGAGGACTACCGCACGAAGCTCACCGAGCTTTCAACGGCTTGTGCCCGCTGGAAGGCACTCAAGGACAACTTCATCACCCGTACCCACTCCGACAGGCTCATTGCCTTCCAACAACTCATCACCATTGACCACAACATCAAAGATCCCATCGTGCTGTATACAACACAGGTCTCTAACCTCTGCATGAAACTAGCGCGCATGGACCTCACCATCCCGGACGACATCAAGACGTGCATTCTTCTTGCACGCCTGAACCCCGGCATGTACTCTACGCGCAAGGATCTGGTCAAAAATGAGAAGTTCCCTTCCTATGAAGATGCTGCGGCCTGTCTGCGTTCGGACGCTCACGACAACTCTAAATCCGACCACATGATCAAGGTCGAAGATGTACCAGTGGCCTTTGGTCTTGCAGCTCGCATTCCATCTCCCCCTTCCGAACCACCACCACAGGAAGCATTCGCGAAGGGCTTCCGTTGGTGCTCCCCGCGCTCTGACAAGGATTGTTTCCGCTGCGGACGTGAAGGTCATCGGGCTCAGTTCTGCCTTGCGGACATGCCGCAAGCAGTTCGTGACTGGATCCTCAACTCCATCTCACGTCGTGAACAGGCACTAGCCCCTGCGCCTTCGAGCTATTCCACATCGCTCTCTGGGCCCAAGACAGCCCGGAAAAGTGAGGAAGGTCTCGCTGCCCAAGGCCCCCATGTTTCCGACGATGACAGTTCCTCCGACGATGAACCACAAATACCTTGGGAGATCCTAGACAAGAAACAAAGGAAGACGTTCAAACGCCTTGGCTTCATGCCTCCGGCAAGTGCTTCGACTGCAGCTGCTTTCGCCAGCACCAGTCGTTATGTGATCTGAATCACGAGAGCCATTCGGGTCTCCTCCACCCCGCACAAGACACGAGGTGTATCGGATTCGGTGGGAGCTCATTTTCCATCTTGTTTCTTTCACCCACTGCTCTGCGTTTTTTCTTGCACAAGACACAAGACGACATGGATTCGGTGGGAGCCTTTTGTACCCTACATACATTCTTTCGTATCCGCGCTGCTCGCTAGGTGGGAGTGTTGAAGTATATAGCTCACGCGCGCGTCATTCTATACACGTGTATGCTTACATAGATCATCGATTCTTGCTTTTGCCCTCTACCGAGACCTCGCTGCTCTTCGCGTTTGCCTCACCGCGCCCTTTTCCTTTTGCGCCGACGCCGCCTCGCTTGCTGCGCTCAACAAAAACTTCTTTCTCATCTTCCCATGGCGCCAAAAGTCCCAGCCCTGCCAAAACTCGGGAGCCGTAGGTGGAGTTTTTTGACAAGTGTAGCTAGCTATTGCTAGTTAACAACTTGTCAAATCTGGTAGCTTTGCTCATAGGCTGAAAGTGTCACTTTTGTAACTATATTTTCAATACTCTATTTAATTACTGTTGACCTTATTAGGTAGCTTATTATGATGTAATTGATGGTAGTGAGGCAAAGTCATCCATGTGGAACGATTTTTGATTGGCATCAATGATTTCAATCACTACATCAAGTTACATCATTTTAGTCCTAATTGGGTTTTAGCCTTATTCACTATATACCGGGTCATCGGCCTGAAGAAAAGGAGTTAAAAGTACCATATATGGTGCCTATTAGTCATATTATTAATATAAATATTCAATTAAGTCATTATTTCAAAATTAAGTGCCAGCATTTGTCAAATGTCACTAACTATTGCTAGCCTGCTTATAGCTGGCCTTTTTGACAAGTTTTCTGCTAGCTTTAGCTAGACATTTGTCAAATTGCCCCCTCTACGGGTGAACTCGGAGCCCTCCACTATTCCGAGCCAATACATTGGCTCGAGAAGCTGCTCAGATCACTTCCCGCATCTATCCCACTTGGGTCCGACCACGACTTTGCTGACTTCGAGCTCTGTACCGAGGCTGTGTGAGAGCTCGGCTGCACTCAGAGTGTCGTGAATCAGGACCTCGAGCGCTCCTTCGGTACATGTGCTGGCGGCAAGGTCATCGAGTTTAAGAGCCAAGGGCCGGGCTTGGAAGCGGTTGTGGTGGTCCTCTGGGAGTATATTACGGGGCCAGCTGGGCAGAATCTCCTTCTCATGACGTGGGTGGACGATTTGATTGCAGCGGCGGAAGCAGCCATTGAGAAGGATGGTAAAGCAGTGTGTAACAGTCTTTTTTCTCTTCTTCATCTCATAACTCTGTCCAGCAACACGGACGTAAGAAAACCAGCAAA